TGGGTCAAGAAGCAAGATCCAACAATATGCTGCATACAAGAAACACACTTAATTCAAAAAGAAATTCATGGACTGAAAGTTAAAGGGTGAAAAATAGTGCTCCATGTGACAGGAACACCCCCCCCCCCATCAGGATTAACTATCCTTGTTGCAGATCAAGTGGATTTCAAACCAAAATCTGAAACACTTCTAACCCCAAGAATTTCAGATAAGGGGCAGTCAACCTGTATGTACAAATCTATTATGAACATGTGTTTTAATTTCCCTTAAGTAAAAACTTAAGAACAGAACTGTTGGTTCTTAAGAGTAATACAAGAAATTTCTATATTGTTTTCCAAAGTGGTTTTATCATTTTACATTCACATTAGCAGTATTAGAAAATTCTGACTGGTTCACATCTAAGCTGACATTTGTTCTTTTAAAACCTTTAACTTAATCTCCCTAATGAGTGTATAATATCATCTTGTTATTGTACTGATTGGTGTTTTCTGATTCTAGTGTTGCACACCTTTCCTTGTGCAGTACTGGCTATATACCATCTTCTGTCTACTTTTTAATTGGTTTGTCTATTAATGAGCTGTAAGAGTTCTGTATATATTCTGGTCATAGGTTATATGTATTATAAATATGTTGTGGTTAAGGACTACTTTTCATTTTCTTAACGATGTCTTTTAGTGTTCTAAATTTTGATGTAATCTCATTTATCAATTTTTTTCTTTTATACATCATGTTTTTTGTATCCTAGGAAATTCTTGCCTACTCTAAATTCATAAACATTTTCCTTTATAATTTCTTCTTAAAGTTGTATAGTTTTAGTCTTTCATATTTAGGTTCATAGATCCTTTCAAGTTATTTTTATGTATGAAAATAAAGGGTTGAGGTTAATTTTTTATATACAGATGCCAGGTGTTCTAGTAATATTTGTTGAAAACGTTATCTTTTCCTCTGCTCTTGAGTTGAGTTTATGTTTTATAAAATGTTAATGTTAAATAATCTTCCAAAAATCAGTGGACCATATATGTGTGCTTCTATTTCTAGATTCTCTGTTTTATTCCAATGATCTATATGTCTTTCCTTATGCCAACATTGCCTTGATTACTGTAGCTTTAGAAGAAGTCTTAAAATTAGGTAATAAATGTCTTCCATCACTGTTATTTTCTTTTTACTTTTCCAGTTCCTTTCTACTCCTACATAACTTTTAAATTTCAATATCCAATTCTTCATTTATAGCAAGTATACATAGATCTGAATTTTTATATATGCCTTGTGTTTTCTAATCCTGCTAAATTCAAATACAAGTTCCAGGGGCTCCTAGAGATTTCTTAGTATTTTCTCTGTAGATGATCATTTCATCTACATATAAAGATTTTACTTCTACCTTGCCAATCCTATGCTACTTGTCTATTTTTATTGCCAGACTATTTTGGTTTTGGGCTGTATTTCAAAGTTTAGTGGACAGATGAAGTGTAGGCATATCTGCCCTTGTTCCCCACCTTTGGGAGAAAACATTATATCTTTTCCATTCATATAAGGTGTTTTTGCTGGAAGTATGGAGTACATGTCTTTTATCTATTGAGAAGGTTCTCTTCTACTTCTAGTCTCCTGATAGCTTTTACCATGAGTAGCTGTAGAATTTAGTCCAATACTTTTTCTGCAACTACTGATAGGATCATTTGCCTTTTTCCTTTCCTTTGTTAAAATGATGACTTATGGGGGTGGATCTTCCAATGCTGAACCAACACTGCCATCCTTATAACAAAACCACTTTCTACATCCTGCCAGATCTGACTTCTAATAGTTTGTTTTGTTTAACAAATTTTTATTTATGTTCATACTTTCCTCTTTTATTTTCTTTATCCAGTTTTAGTATTAGCACAATGTTGATTTCCTATGAGGGGAGAAGTGTTCCTTCTTTTTTCTGCTTTAAATGTTTGATATAATTTATCAGTTAAAATGTTTATGAGCCTATTGTTTTCATATAGGTAGGTTTTCAAGCTAGGAATATACTTTCTTTAATAGGTGCTATTCAAATTTTATATTTTCTCCAGAGTTAGTTTCATTAATTTGTTTTCCAAGGTACTTCATAGAAGTTGTCAAATTTATTTCAAAAAAGATTTTTAAAATATGCTTTCTATATCCTTTTAAATTCTGTAAAACCTGTGGTAATGTCCTCTGAATCTTGATATTGTAATTAAAAAAATATAATTGATATTGTGTAATAGGAACAAAAGGTCTAAAGTAGTAGGGAAAGTGGGAGGGGTAGGGAAAAGGAAAGAAGGGAAAAGGAAAAACACGAGAAAAGGAAAAAAAGTGGAAACAAAGTCTTTGTAAATAGGGAAGGGCGGAGGGGGTGAAGGGAGGGCAGGGGAATGGGGAAAAAATAAGAACCAAGATACATTATGTAATGGTATAAGATCCCAATGATGAATGTAACTGTATTTTATACCTAAAATGTACCAATAAACTTAATGGGGGAAAAAAAGATCACACATCTAATTAGTGAGTTTGCAAACACAAAATCCCCTTGTCAGTGCTCCTTTTTACAAATGGCCATTTCCTCCTCCTTCTGAGCTCTCTTGCTCAGCACAACCACTGCCTGCCCCCCATCCTGATGCAGGAGCTGAGCTAGGTTCTGACTGGCTTTTGGGGCTGGGGCAATGGTCCAGGCCTCTGTGGAAGGAGCACTGGGAATCCCTTGTTAGAAGTCTCCCCTTCCCCTCTGCCCTGCCTCTGCAGGAATCTTGGGCTTAGGGCAGAGCTGCCTGCTCCCTGAAGGGGAGAGCATGTGGCAGTCTGTCCTGGGTGCTTTTAAACCACTGCAGCACAGCCCTGCCCCTCTTATGCTGGCCAGAAACTGCAGCTGATGTGGGGCCTTTGTGGCCTGAGAGTTTCTCAGTTCTTGAGTTTCAAAGTGCACTTGGTGGGTTCCTGGAGAATTCCGAGGACTTGGCCCTCAGAGGTGGACAGTGTCTTGGCCCCTTGTGATGCCTGCATGAGCCTGGGAAAGAAGCTCCATTCTGAAACAGAGTGGGTCTCCCAGGCTGTGGCTGGAGAGGCCACACCTGGGCTGGGACACAGTCTGGCCACTGAAAGCCATGTGACCCAGAACAAGCCGACCTGACTTCCGCTTCTGTGAGGTAGAGATAATAATGGCAGTGCAGGGGTTCCAGGCCTTAGGAGAGGATGCGGTGAGTGCCCTGTGCCGCCCTGCCCTTGGCCTGGGCCCAGTACATGGGAAGAGCAGAGATGACCCTTGCACTGTCCCCACCATGGGCATGGGATCCATAGATGCCCCATCCCTTGGCCTGTCCTGCTGCCGGCTCTCACTGCAGGAGTCCAGGCAGGTAGCTGAGGGCAGGCCACTTGCCAGAACAGGCAGGATGGGATCATGATCACGTGTGGGCAAAGCCAAAGGTCAGAGCCAACATAGCTGTGAACAGGAGGAGCCCCGATTTCCTGAAAAGCAGAGAATCATGTACTGCCTAGGTCGGGACAAGAAATGACAGGGTGAGCTAGGACCTCCAGCTCTCTGTGCCAAAGGGTCAGGTTTTAAAAACTCCCATTCCACCGAACATTGATGTTTTTATAAAATGTACTAGAAGCCAAACAACAACAGCTCCGGGTAATCTGGGAGACCTTAAGAGTTCAGATGCTAAGCTGGGCCCTCTGTGAATCCAAGATCACTGAGACTTCTCCAAACTGCTTTGGGTCAAAGCAGAAGGACTCTGACAGACCCACAACACTGAAGATGGTGACAGCCCGGTGAAAAATGGCAGAAAACTTCCTAAGGTGTTACAGCGGTCTGATGCCCACTACCACTGGAGTGACCCTCAAGTCAGGTGTGGACAGAGCATCTTCCAAAGGCTTATGGTCCAGGTGCTTTAGTCCGTGGGATCTGCTGTGCCTGCCACCAGCCTACCTAAAAGATGGATTTTCAAGAGGGCGCCTACCACCTTCATTCCAAACAGAGTTCCTGTAACTCTAAAACCTCTGAATTTCAGGTCAGGGTCAAAGTAAGAATGAGGAACCAAAGAAGTTCCAAAAAATGAGGAATGGGCTTGAAAAGCAAGGCCCTTCAATGATTTTCCAGGGAATCCCAGGAAAAGGGCACAAATGCCTTTAGTGCAAAACCAAGAGGGATAGAATACCCCAATTCTGGCAGAATGCCAGCTAGCAGTGTCACCTCTGATCCTCACACAAAGTCAGCCCCAAAGGGGAGCAGCTCCAGTGATAGGAAAGTGGTTATATGTCCTAGTAAAAAACTTAATGAGAAGCCACTTGGTGACCAAAGGTTAGTTTTTATGAAAAAGGCTTGTCACCCCAATAACTTTTGGATGATGATGATGTTGACTCAGTCTTCCCAAAGCCTAAGGAAAAAGTGTTTCTTGAGCACCCTTCTCCAAGGTGCTCATAGATGAGATTGCACAGTCAGATTCTCTCAGGAGGAGCCACCCTCAGAGCCTCCCACTAGTTTCAAAGCCTTCACCCTTCAAGAACAACTATGGCATTTAACAGCCTGATTTGTATTACTACCCTTGTAATGACTACATCAGCACTTGGACCAGCAATACCAGGCTTTCACCCTATTTTCCTATGGGCTGTGGAAGCAGCAGGACCTCTATCACATTACAGGGGAAGAGGGGCAGCAAGAGGTTTGTAGGGGGTTATTCCTACTCTACAGTAAGCTCCCAAACTATGGCCAGGAAGATGCAAATGACAGAAGACACAGCCCAGATCCTTGAGCATTTGATTTCTCTAGAAATTTGGAAGCAGACTCTAAGCAGAAAAATCTATCAAGAGCAGAAGCTGGCACGTCCCAGTAGGTGCAAGACACACATGGGACACCTGCATCTGGCTTTCTGGCAAGAAGCCACTGGCAGGCGAACCTAGTGAAGGGTTTCTTAGGCTCCCACTGCCACTTGACATGCTGTGGTCCAAGCTGTCTTTCTGTGGGAACTTTGACAAATTCAGAAAAATTTATAGAAACTTCTTCCCTAAGGAACTTCAGGGCTGCCTCACTGATTTTGTGATCCTCGTATGCTGAGGGATAGTCTATGGGAGGAACGACTGAAAGATCTGGTTTGGGGAGCCTTTGGCATCACCCTCTGTTGGGAGCAATACTACATAATTTTAGGGAAAAATCATTTGATTAGGCATAGTTCTCCTGCCTACAGGCCAGCTATGGCATTTTGAGACATAATTTGAGGGATAATTTTGAGACATAATTTGAGACATAATTCCATAATTCCATTCCCTGGTCACAACTGAGACCTTAATGATCCGGTGATGCTGTGATGCTCCAGGACAAGATTACACCAGCTGAAGACATCATGGGAGGAACAAAATCTTCATCTACTCAGTTCCTCATTGTTGGATTGTTACACCTTGTTTGTCCTGATGCACTGAACTCTCTGCAAGTCATTTGTTACATTTGTTTCTCCCAATGTACTGAATAAAAGGTGTGGCAAGCTTGGAAGCTTTTGTCTTTGCCGCCCAGAGCAGCACTGATCAGACCCAAAGCTCAGCTTCTTCTCAAAGTCTCATTTTTCTACCTTTCCTGTATAGTAAGTTAATTTGCCTTGTGCTGCCATGGCTCACAGGAGACTAGGACTTACTACAGAGGTTCAAGTAACATCCCCTTTCCCCGTTTCCCTACAACCCTCCTTTTGCACATTACTACAATGAGTATCAAGAAAAAAGTGTCCTGCATGAGTTACAGCACCCTGAGGTGGTGGCTTTTGGGGAATAGGGCTTGGATCACTCTTACAAGTGCACCACACCTGCCCTGGAGCAGTTCAAGATATTTGAAGACAACTGCAGCTGGCCACATCTCTCAAGAAGCCACCAGGGATCCACTCCCAAGATGCCAGTAAAAGCCTACTAGACACCACGAACAAGCCTGTACCCCCTGATTACAAGATCCACAGGGACTGCTTGCTGGCAGTCACTTGGTCATTGGTCCTGTTGAAGCACAGCCCCAGCTTGTCCATGGGCTTCACAGCAGTCCCAACTTACACCTCTGACTGGTGGGCCTGAGAAGCTCTCACAAAGATCCCATTAGAAAGAATTCTTGTTGAAACTGATACTCCCTACTTTTTCCCTCATCAGCTTCCCAAAAGCCTCTGCCCACCCTGGGCCTGGCCCTGCATACAGGGCAAGCGACCCCCAGAATCCAAGCAGCCACTTTCCATACTGTAGCCTCCCTGTGTGAGAACAACAGTCACCTCCACAGCCTCTGAGCAGAGAGGACACAGTCAGGAGTCTTTCAGAAAAGGGAGACCAGCAACCTAACACAATATGGAATGGATTTGAACTCTGCCCATGTTTCAGGTCAAAGACAGTTTCCAAACTCCATTGAAACAGAAAACCAGGCTATGATATCTTCCTCTACCTCTTCATAAGACTTCTGCTCCTGGCTGGTAGGGTTGGGTTCACTGGGATGAGAGGACGGTTCAGATGCCATTAAAATTTTACCTCGCAGCCAGGATGCTACATGGTAAATAAGAAAGATTTCTCTGCAGCCTGTTGTTAAGCAATTAGTGAATAAGGTCTTTCTCCTGCCTGTCTTAAAAAAAAAAAAAGTAATGTTAAACTTTAAAAGTGAGCTAGGTATTTGCTCTGTTTATCCTCAAAATGTATGTTATAGGAATTTTACAATTCACTTTGTTATTAAATCCATAAATTCAGTGAGCATTCAACTTGAGATTTCTTATTTCTAAAGACAAACAAAACTAGTGTTTCACCTAAAAGGAAATTAACTTAGACAGATAAAAGCTAGTTAATCGTCCTGACCTGCCAAACAAAGTGTGGGACTTGTAGAGCCAAATACGGTTGGGTCTGAGCCGGGAGAAGACTAGTCTTGCATCTGAACTACCGACATTCGTGTAAATTAACTAGTATATAATGACGGCATCTGGTCACTGAAACTGCTCTAATTTTTAAAGTTCAAATGCAAACCACACAGAAATACTGTTCTTCAGGAGGGCTTCGAAAGCATCAACACAGCAGAAACAGAGAGGAGCTTCAGTGCCCCACTTGGCAAACAGCAGGCCTCCCTGAGAATACAAACTCCCAGTGTAAGGGAACTATCTGAGTTGTGAAATTTAACTTGGTGAGACAAAGCATATACCTAAATCCAGAAACCCCAGTACTAGATGAGGCATGCCAAGCTAAAAATGGAAAACCTCTTTTACCCCTGAAAATCAAATCTATGGAAACAGAGTACTCCAGACTTCTCTAGTGCCCTCCGCACTCAGCTGGATCCAGAGAAATCAGCTGGCTCCTCCCCACTTAGTTCTCCACTGAAGCCACTTCCATAAAGAAGCCCTCTAAGCCCACCAATCTGGGAGATAAAAGCCCTGTGGCTCCATGATCACAGCACTTAGCCTGTGTCTGAGGCACTGTTGTTAACTTATTTGCATGTTCATCTGTTATCTGCCCCCAGGAGGTTGTAAATTGACAAGCTTGTCAGCCTTATGCAGCCATGAAACCTTGATGTTAGAATAGTGCATGGAACAGAGCAAGTAGGAGGCCGTCGCAGTTCCGTGGCCGCAGTGCGAGTGCGCTGTGACGCCGGGGGTGGGGTGGGGTGGGGCGGGGAGGCGCTGGCTGGCTGGGCTGGGCTGGCAGGAGCATGAGCAAGCCAGGGCAGACCTCGGTGGCCTGCAGACTGCTTCTGGTTCCATATGGTTTTGCTGAGCTTGTAAAAGAGACACTTGCATGGTGGATTAGCAAGAACCCTGACGTTTTGTGGAAAGTATCAAATTGGAGAACACTGAATTTTCACCCTAGTGCAGCGGCTCTGCTGCTCACTTAAATACAGATGAATGAAGACCCCATTCAGAAAGTCACCTGGCCAGCAGTCCAGAGCTGATGCAGGCCATGCTGGAGTGTCTGCAAACATGATGAAGAAGAGGACATCCCACAAAAAGCATGGGAGCAGTGTGGGGCCAAGCAAGCCTGTGTCCCAGCCCCCACAGAACGTCATAGGCTGCAGGATCCAGCATGGATGGAGAGAGGGCAATGGCCCTATCACCCAGTGGAAGGGCACTGTCCTGGACCAGGTGCCCATAAGTTCTTCTTTCTCTCTTATAAAGTATGATGGATTTGACTGTGTTTATGGACTAGAACTTAATAAAGATGAAAGAGTTTCTGCACTCGAAGTCCTCCCCGATAGAGTCGCAACATCTTGAATTAGAGATGCACACTTAGCAGACACAATGATTGGTAAAGTGGTGGAACATATGTTCGAGACAGAGGATGGCTCTAAAGATGAATGGAGGGGAATGGTCTTAGCATGGGCACCTGTCATGAACTCATGGTTTTACATCATGTATGAGAAAGACCCTGTCTTGTACATGTACCAGCTCCTAGATGATTACAAAGAGGGCCACCTTCGCATCATGGCCGATTCTAATGATTCACCTCCAGCAGAAAGGGAGCCAGGAGAAGCTGTGGACAGACTGGTAGGCAAACAAGTGGAATATGCCAAAGAAGATGGCTCGAAACGGACTGGCATGGTCATTCATCAAGTAGAAGGCAAACCATCCACCTAGTTCATCAAGTTTGATGATGATTTCCATATTTATGTCTACAATTTGGTGAAAACATCCTAGATGTCATCGCGAGCTTTGCCAAATTTGTGGAACTATTAAATGTATAATTTGTAGACATAAAGACTTGATTGCTTTCCAGTTTAATGAAAGCTTAAATGTCCTTGCAAACCTACAATCTCTGCCAGCAGAACTGGTTTCGTTCTGAATAGTACAGATTGATGTGAACACAAAGCATTTTGTGTAAGGAGAACTTCTTCATCTTACAAGAAGTTTGTCCGTTGGGAGAGGAGTTACAGGCAAGTTTGGTAAAAGTTAAGCTAGTATCATAGTCATTTAAATCTGTAATAGATCTTAATCATTTCCCTCCTTCACTTTAACACTGTCTTATTCTGCCACAATGCAAGCATAGTTTGATATTTTTGTTACTGCCTTTTTTTGAGATATATGCATCTATATCTACCTATGTATATCCCTATCTGTGTGCCTGTGTATATATGTGCACACACACAGAGGCAGTCCTTTCCTCATGGATTGGGATGGGGTGATTCAATTTTCTCCAGTTTAACCCAGTGCTTGACCCAAGTCAGTCATGTTTAGGACATTCCTGCTCTTCATTTAAAATTAAACTGGGGCGCAGGGAGCACACAGGCTCATTCAGTTATTTTGAAAATCAGGAGTTCAGAGCACGTATTTCAATCTTTAGGCTGTAAACTGGAAGTCCAAATATGAATCACTTATGAACAGTTCATGACCCACATTTGATTGACTGGTGAGAAATCTGGGTAAAAGGCTGCCTTTAATTCTAAACTTTGGGGCCAGGGATGTAGCTCAGTGGTTCTGCCACCTGCCTTGCAAGGGCAGGGTCCTGAGTTCAATCCCTGGTACCAAAAAAAAAAATTCTAAACTTTGTAAGTTGTTTTGTTTACATTTTAATTTTAAATACTTTTTAGCTCAGTCCAGGTCCTTTGTGCACTCAGAATAACATAGGTGTGTCTTGGATGGCACATTTGGCCCATTACTTATACAAACTAGTAATCAATTTTAGTTCATGGATTTAAAAGGCAACAGTACATCAATGGCTTGTGTGTATGTGGTGAGTTCCTGGAAGAACAGTGCTTTTGTATTTAAAATGTAAGTTTAAGAATGGCATTGTTGCCTCCAAAAAAAAAAAGAAAACAAATATTTCTTGGATTAATATATATGAATAAGTGATCTCATTAACACCTGGGTGGTAAACAACAATACTGAGAGGGAGGGCTACATTAGGAAGGGAACAGAGAAATAAGCAAACATGTTTCCAACACCCCTCTCTAATCCCAAACCCAAGGCAAAGATTAGAGGCATGCCATCTATCTATGTTTTTGTTAGGTGTATTACATAATGAAAAGAAACAAAGTCAAGCCTTTCTAAGAAATTGACAGTAATTAGCAGCAAATAAAATTGACAGTAAATAAAACTGAGCATATCATAGATTTCCCCTTTGTTGAAAATAATGTCTTTTGAGAAAGATCAAAGTGTAAAACACACACACACACACACACACACACAAAACCATAGTGCTTCATTTTCCTTTAGAACAAAAGAGGTTAATACAATGTGAAAAGGGTGATTTGATTATATGTTCAAGAGAAACCATGAAAAACTGAGCCAGTGTTTTAAGAGATGCAGCTTTTCTACATAATGTACACTTTAAGACATTGCTTAGAGTGTCCTGCAACACATGGGGTCCCTGAGCTTGTTTTAAACAATGGTAGAAAACAGGTTCCACTGCCTGCCTTGAAAACAGAAGGTCCTGAGTTTGATCCCACGTACCAAAAAAAGAAACAAAAACAAAAACAAAAACCCCCAGCAATTCACATAATTAAAAATTGCCCGGGGGGTTTAGCTCAGTGGTTTGCCCGTCTGCTTTGAAAGCGCAAGGTCTCGAGTTTGATCCCTCACACCAAAAAAACCCCAAAACAAATAGACAAAATATGGCTTTGGGCTGGGGATTTAGCTCAGTGTTTCTGCCACCTGCCTCACAAGCACAAGGGTCTGAGTTTGATCCCCAGTACCAAAAAAAAAGAAAGAAAAGAAAACAAGGTTCCATGCTCATACTTTAGGAAAGTCCTGAGTTGTGTCAAATTCCACAAGTTTTGTCTTAATTACAGTACAGGACTCTTACACAGCCTTTGATGTACAGTGGGGTGGGCACTGTGAGGACCCATGAAGCAGGTCTCAGGGATGGAGTGGTATGGGAAGGGCCAGCATGAGAATCAGCTCTTGGCTGCAATGTCCTTGTCAACAGTCCATGCCTCTCTCTGCACAGTTCCAATATCATCCTCCATTTATCTTGCTCACTACCTGCGTTCCACAAGAGAACAAAACGGCATTTCCCTGTGCATTGCCAAGTGGGTGTCTCAGAGAGGAGTGTGATTAAACAGCTGCTGTGAGTGCTAGAGAAGTCGCTCAGTGGTCCAGCACTCACCCAGCATGAGCAAGGCCTTGACTGGATCCCAGTGCCTCCCTACCTGCACCAGAAAAACCCCTTGCATTGATAAGTACACATTCAGCAAGATAAACAAGGATATACACAATGAATGTACCCTTCCTTTCAAAAAAAAAGATTTCTTTTCACATGGGAAAATACTTTTCTAACTGGCTGCCTGAGGTAAAGTGAACTTTGTGAGTTTTTCCTGCCCTGAGGTTTAGGGATGAAAAATTCTCCTAGTCCTAGACATCTAGTTGAGAAACACTGAAACTGAGTTTCTTAAGTCAACTCCCACATCAGAAATCTAGGGGCATGGCGTGATGGTGGAAGGACACCAGCTAGAGAAGAACTTTCCTCCTCTGTGCAGTTTTCTCATCAAAAAGTGGGTAATGATTGTCTCATCTCACCTGCACCTCGGCTTCCCTGAGGAACAAATGAGCCAGCGGAGCCACACCAATGGGAAGTGGTCAGTGCTGTCCTTAGCAGAAGCAGTGTCTGGCTCCTCATTCCTGGCACGCCCAAATGGGTCATTTTAGGTTTGGGGCAGCTGGAGGGAGGCACAGATGTGATTTGTGCACACTAGGAGGCTGGTGGTCACCCATGGATGAGGGGAAAAGCAGCTGTTTCTCTCTCTAAACCTCTTCCCCAGGCCAGCTGCAGACAATGACATCCCAGGAAGGGCCAGTCAGGACCTGCACCTCTGAGGGTCTTCCTGGGGAGGGGCAGGAGTTTGAGTTCTTCTCTCTTCAGCAAACCATGAGTCCCTTGGCTTAAGAGCTGGTGCCTGTGAACCCTAGGCTTGCTGTGGTCCCTCACAGTGGGTATCCTGGGGACTCCTTGTCCAGTCCTGCCCTCTCCAGGCCTACAGAGGGCCCAAAGCCCCTAGCCCTGCTGTAACCCACAGTCTGTAAGCTGGAATGGGACCTGGACGGCTGCCCACTCAGGGGTATGGTCAACAGGTACAGCTACTAGGGACCCTAGTCACCCCCGTGATAGGGCTGTGGGGGCACAGGAGGACACAGCTGGTCCTGAGGCCACTTCTCCAGCCTGGGCTAATCAGTACTGGATGATGGTGCCTCCCGCAGGTGCATCAAGGCACAGAGCAGGTGCCTGCTCTTGGGGAGCCTCAGGCCCAGGACATCCCAGGGGACTGCCTCTGGCTTGGTCCTGAGCTCACCTCGACCATCCCGCAGCACGATCTCGCTGTCACCCGTGATCCAGCGGTAGCAGGGGAACTCCACGTAATCCCCGTGGGGCGTCTTCAGCGTCACATACTTCAGGTACCAGTCATCATGCAGCCAGTACTTGCGCTTCTCAATTTTGACCAGATGGATCTCGCCCAGTTCCTCATCCACGGTGATGTCGTAGGAATCAACCTGGGCAGGAGGACAGAGCCGTCAGCCGTGGGGGTCCCCGAGCCTGATCTCAGAGGTGTTAAGAATGTGCCACCCTAACAGGGGCTCTGTAGATTGAGCATCCCGAGTCAGGGGCACTAATAATGGTGATGTAAGGTTCTGGACCCCCGGGAAGGCATCTCCCCATGCCGAGGGTAGCAGCAGCCCTTCACTGGGGTGGGTGCAGAAGTGATCCTGTTAGCCTGGCCTTCTCCTCTGGGTCCCTCCTCCATGCATCACCCCGCTACTCAGCTCCTTCCTGACCACAGCTCCTGACCACTTGGAATTGGCTTTTGCTGTGTTTTCCTTTTGGGTAGTTTCCTTTTGAGGGCCCTGAGCTGTGTACAGCTTGTACTGAATAAATCTGTACATCATCTGCTAATAATTTAGGTCAACTAAATTCTCAGGCCCACCAGAAAATAGGCAGAGGTAAAATTTTACCTTCCCAATGGTTCATTTAGACAAGGTTCTTTTTTTTTTTGGTACCGGGGATTGAACTTGGATCCTTGCGCTTGCACAGCAGGTGGTGAAACCACTGAGCTAAATCTCCGGCCCTTAGCTAAGATTCTTTGATTTTTTTTGTTGTTTTTTGTTTTTTTTGGTATTGGGGATCCAACTTGGGACCTTGCACTTGTGAGGCAGGTGCCGGAACCACTGAGTTAAATCCCTGGCCCTTAGCCGAGATTCTTTAAAAAAATATTTAACTGATTCAGAGGCATTGCACATAAATGCAATGTGGTGTGACATTTCCATGTGTGTATACAATATGCCATGATCAAACCAGGTAATTCCATTTCCATCACCTCAAACATTTACTTTTCTTAGAAAAATTCAAAATCCTCCTTGAGATTTGTGAAAATATAATGATTTATTATTAACAAAAGTCACCTTGCTGTGCCAAGCAGAACATCAGAACTCCTCTCTCCCCTCTGCACTCTGGCACCCACGCTGCAGCCCACGTTCCCCCTTCCCAGCTTCCAGTGACCAGAATTCTCCTCCCACTTCCAGGGAACCCATTGTCTGGCTTCACATGGGAGCAAGAATGCACAGCACTTGTCTGTCTGTGCTCGGTTGGCTTCACGTAGCATAACGTCCTCCAGGCTCATTCATGTTGCCACAGATGACAGGATTCCATTCTTTTCGCAGCAGACTGGTATCTCACTGTGTGTGTGCCTATTTACATGCCACAATTCTTAAATTCATTCATTTGTCCCAGATATCTCAGTTGATCGCAGACCTTTAGCCAAGATTCTTAATGAGCCCAGCTCAGAGGGAACCTCTCAGTTCATTTGGCCATGATGTTCACCTGGTGCCTGCTGCTGTAAGACTGTGTGCTTCTGGGGGGCAACAGAGGGCCCTGTGTCTGTTTAAATGGACGCTGGTGATCTGGGAGTGTGTTTGGCTTCCCTGAGGCTTTGGCTGGGGTGGTGAGGGTCCTTTGCAGTTCTCCAGCTCTCAACAGGGCCAGGGAGGGAGGACAGATGGGGCTCAGAGATAGGCAGGTGGCCCGGCCCAATTCACAGGCACAGGCAGATACCAAGAACAAACAGACCATCTCCTATTAGGCTGCAGCCACCTTGCCACTGGAAGGTGGCACCCTGGGCTATAGGTAGTGCTGCTCCCCAGGTCCCTGAGACTGAGCTGCTGGGCTCCCTGGGCATGGTGGACTCCTGCCCCCAGCCCCAGGGCACTGGTGGACTTGGCAGCAGTGTCCCAGCTTCTGCATTGATGGTGTGCAGCAGCTGGGGGCAGATGGGAGACAGGTGGGGCTCAAGCACTGTGCTGGCCTCAGTGACCAGCAATCTGGCATTGCCCAGATTGGGTTTCCCTGACCCTTTCCCCGGGCTGCAGAACCCAGAATTCTGGGGGGATGGCTGGGGTGTTCATTCTCATGTGACCCACTGTCCCCAGCCCTTCCTGTCCCTCCGGCTGCTAGCAGAACTCTGGGTGGCTTCCCAAGAGCACAGGGAAGTTGGGGATTCTGCAGACCTCTGGGCTATGAGCACACAGAGCAGCTGGCATGTGGTGGCTGTGGCCCAGGCCAGATGCTGTAGCCCTGGCCAGACGCTGTGGTCAAAAGCAGAAGCTCCCTCCCCTGGCCCTGTGGACTGGGCTCAGGTCCTCAGTTAGGGACAGTCCCCGAGAACAGGAGCCAGGCCAGTCCTTGAATGACACGTCCTGGTCTTTTAGCAAGTATAGGAGCCTCTGTCCCTGAAGGGAGGGAACAGGTCTTATTGTCACCTCTGAGAAAGAGCTCCTGTTGTGCAAGAGAACAGGAGCCACCAGAGAGGCTGCACAGACAGCGCACTGAGCCAGGCCTGAGAACCTCAGACAGAGCCCTGTCTGTGCTGTAGGTGGAGCCCAGGGAGGAGCCCATGGGCCCAGGGTACAGGGCTAGGAGACAGGGCGTGGAAGAGGAAGGGCTGTCTTGTCTCCTGGGGGCCACTTCCAGAGTGAGAAAGGAGGGAAATGGGGCTGTGCAAGAACCCAACACAATAGCCAGGTGCTTGGGGTTGGTCAGAAGAGTAGCGTGAGGACAGGATGGTCCTGGTACTGGATCTGCAGAGACTTCAGCCCAAGGAGGAATGGAAGGTGGGGTGGCTAGAGGCACAAGCTAGCCCTGGGGTTCTAGGCTCTGAGTTCCATCCTGGCTCCAAAGTGATGGCCGAGTCTGGGCCAGGTGCCTCATCCTTTAGGGCTGTTTCTTTATCTTTCAAGAGAGATAACACCTAGCTGGCAGGACCGCTGTGAAGTTGAAGTGACTGGATGTCTGGGCAGCTCTGGCTGCATGGTCCTCACTCACCAGAGCAGAGGGTCCTGGGCCATCGGCCCACTCTACCTGGGCACAGGGGAGCCAGGGGCCCACCGCCATGCACATGCGTTTCTGTGCTCTGCAGCGTAGCCAAGGTTGTGTGCAGAGGGGATCCTGGCCGGTGTGTGCCCAAACCCTTGCTCAGGGCCTGCTGGGAGTTCCTGTGTGGGTGCAGAAGGGCTGCCCTCTGGGTGGGCAGGCTGAGGGAAGTCAGCATGTGGTCAGTACCCAAGAGCAGGTGGCACCACAGCTGCTGCAAGGGAAGTGGCTTTCCTGGGGATCCTGGGTGGGGGGGAGTCTGGAATTGAGGCCAGGAAAGCTAGGGACACAGCACCCTTTCCAAAGCAACAGTTGTAGGAAGGCCTTGGGGGGGCCTCTCTCAGGGAGGGCAAAGGGGGCAGCTGTCTGTCTGGTGGTGGTGGCCCACAAGGAAGAGAGAGAGTCGCTTTTCTGACAGAAGGGACATCAGGGTGCCCCTTTAGCCCTCTGTGGTGTAACCCCAGGTCCCCTGTAGCACCCCCCAGGTGAAGTCACTGGACCTTCAGGGCCTTGCTCTGCCATGGATGTCTCCCCAGGGCGGCACCAGGACACAGGCTGGTATGTCTGGCCCAGCTCAGGCCTGGAGGGACAGCAGGGGCCCAAGTTGGGAAGTCTGAGGAACAGAGTGTGGGGTCTGTGGCCCTGAACCCCAGGACAGAGGAAGGCCTCCTCCAGGAAGATGCCGGGGCCACAGTCAGACAGCAAACACGGGCCTCTGCTTCCTCTCTGGGCTGATGCCGTGCATGTGTCCTGTGACAGAGAATTCTGTGTGGAGGACACGATAGGCAGGGCATAGCCCACGTTAGGTGCTCAGTGAACACTCAACCCATTTCCAGACAGAATCTGAGGCTCAGGGAGGTCGGGCAGCTATGGGGTCCAGGAGGAATTGCCACCCCGTGACTGGAACCAGCACCTGTGTGAGGTCCCATCCCATCTTGGTGGCTACGTCTTCAGAGAGGCCCTGGGCTGAGGGCAGAAGGCCTGGCGTGGCCCTGGACCAAGTGCAAGACAGGGTACCATGAGGCCTTTGGAGAAACGCGGAGGCTCAGGCTGCTCTCGGGGACAGGCCTGACTCAGGGGTGAGGGAGTCGGGGACAGCGGCGAGAGAGGAGGCATGGGGGCATTTCAGATGCAGGGTGCCTTGGGAGCAAGATCCCACAGCAAGACTTCACTGGGGGGTGGATGGCCCAACACACAGGTCCTGGGGCAGAAGTGAGGTGCTGGGGTGACCTGGGTATGGGCATCACCGGACTCGGGTCCAGAAGGGCTGGCGTCAGTGTGCTTGCTCCTTTCAACTCTGCACTGGACTGTGGGCCTAGAGCTCTGGGATTCAGTCACCAGTGGTGGCCAAGGAACAGGGACATGGTAAGGTGATGTTGCCGCTGTGGGAACATCATGGCAAGCACTGTGCAAGCCTATCCAGTGTGGCCACCTGCTGTCCCAGCCACACATGGGCAGCAAGCTGCTATGCCAGTACTGTGGGCGCAGGGCAAGTGCTCATGGATCTAAGCACATCTGAATAGGCACAGCAACAATACAGGGGACATAGTTCTCTGCCCCACCATCACCCTACAGGCCACTGTCACACATGCCACCCGTGGCTGTGTGGCTTCTGGCTGCATCTCAGCAAAGTGTTGGTCAATCTTTTCCATCTGACTTTTGGATCGAGTTTTAAAGAAGGGCATTTGTTCACTCGTGGGTCTCAGCCCAGGGACAGGGAGAGGGAGTCTCCATGGATCAAGGACCTGGGCCACTTGTCTGGAGGGGGAACTCAAGAGAGGGAGACTGGGAGGCAGACAAAAGAGCCTGGGGCACAGAGAGGGGAGCGGGGGGGGGGCAGAGAGGGGGAGAGGGCAGTGGCTGGGGAGACTTAGGGGCAGATAGGACAATGTGGGACGGAGGTAGAGGCAGAGGGAACAAGGGTGGGGCAGGCAGGGAGGCTGGAGGACATGGGGAAGACAGGGACTCAGGAAGAGGGGGCCAGAGTGTGGGGAGGAGGTGGGGCAGGGACACAGAGCAAGCCTGAGGGCCTCGAGGAAGAAGGATTTACTCTCCACACACACAGTTTTCTTCCTGAGAAGGAGATATTCTAGAATTTATCCTTCATGAATCTAAGAATATTCACTGGATGTCCGTGAGAAGCGCTATCATCAGAGTGACTCATACTTCCTGAGTATGTCCAAGAATCATGTATTAAATGTCTATCTCCCACTTCCTTCCTCTCTTCATCAGGACCGGGGATGGAGCCAGGGCCTCACACGCTTGGGCACAGCACTCCCTGGGCTTTCCTCACTGCACCGTCTTGGTGTGAAATGGGCTGACCAAGGCTTCCCAGAAGTCTCTGGATCAGTAAGTCACCGCATCTGACGCGGACCCCTTTCCATTTACGGAGTTAAGGAGCAAAGCAATTTGTCAGATGTGCTTGGAGTCAGCCAGCTGCTGGGCAGAGGCAATTGTGCGTGAGACCTGGCTTCTCCTAAGCAGGGAGGGAACCAGCGACCTTGTGCCACTTACAGGAGGAGCCATGGCAAAGGACTCCTTCCCAGCCCTTCTGAGCCACTGTGCAGGATGAGAATAATCTAGGATTTGTACCTCAGTTTGTTGTAAATGAAAGAAGGGAAGAAAACCAGTTCTGTCCATTATTGGACCAAACTGTGCACTGAGGGAGGGAGGTGCTGACCGCCCACAGCCTGAAAAGATGGGATCAGCAGGTAGAAATCGCCTTCATGGCTTTTGCTGTACAGTGCTGAGTGGAAGCGACTGCAAACACTCTCCCAAGTGGGAAGCGAAGCTTTATCTCCTTGCCGGGCTTCCTCCAGGCTCTCTTCCCTTGCCCAAAAGGGACGGATTGTCTGCAGACACACTGTCCCGAGAAGAGGAAGTAGCTCTAGGCTGTGCAAGACCAGCATGGGGTAACTTTGCATCAACAGGAACTTTCTCAAAAACTCATTTTCCAAAGGCCTTTCACACCCAACTGGCCCCCACCTGGTGGCATGGAACCCCTCCTGAATCAGCCCAAGAGAAATGTGACATGCAAATCTTTCCAGGAATTTGCCTCTGGGATCCTGATGAGGAGTTTAATCCCAATGTCATTTAAATGACTCCTCAGGGTGGGGGGACAGAGAGAAGGGAGCACGGCAGGACAGAGGCCACTGTCCACCCAGTGACCCATGTTTCCCCCCTGCCCTCCCCATCTCCTGAAGGACCCATCCGAGGTCCCCCAGCTGCACACTGATGGGCTGTGGCTCTAGAATGTCACGGTGTGTGGAAGAGAACAGGGCCTGCAGGGTCCTCTTAGAAAGGGGAAATGGCCTGTCCTCTTCCTCCTCTCCTGGGTGTTGGGAAATCCATGAACAAATGGACATAATGAAGGTGTTCATTTGGAGATGGCAGATGGCATCATCCTCCCAGACGGTGACATATTACTCCAATGCACCGTGGCCTTCAGGGCCAGCTCCCCGATTGAGGAGACCAAGTGACCAAGGTCATGGCTATGCTTTCCTGAGGGGCACACAAGCCAGGTGAACATCCTCTGAGCTTGGCCATGTCCCAGGTCAGGGGACTGAGGCTTCCAGCTGTGGGGAAGGATCAAGCCCCCTGGGAGGTGGAATCTACAGCAGTAGACTGTTATGTCCTTACTGTAGGCTCTGCAGACCTGAAACACACTTCATAGATTTTATCCAAGAAATATTCAGCGGAAACACCAAACTGCCAGTGGCATTGGTCACAAATCGTGAATTCTAAGCAATTTTATATGGGTTCACTAATAATGAACTGCATAGTCAGAAGGCAGCTGGTAAAGACTGCATCTTTCTAGTCAGATTCAGAAGCTGGGCACAGTGGAAGGGATATTCCCTGAGCACCTGTGTGCTTGGACATGGGTGTAGTCATTTCCTGAGCACTTCCTGTGCATCAGGTGCTGGGAGAGATGCTGAACCCCGCACTGGCCCACACCATGGAGAAAGCCATGGGCTGGGATCTGCGCCCTCAGCATCAAGAGCAGCTGCGAAACCAGCTCCCTCCCTTGCAGACACCACAGCCCCATGGTGTGAGGTGCATGGGTGGGTGAAGGTGGGGCCCTGGCTCCCCAGTGCCTGGCTCTGGTCTCTACTGGGGAGCAGTGAGGGAGGAGGCCCCCTTCCTCCTCCCTGTGTGCCTACTGCTGGGAGGGGCTGAGGGCTCCAGCCCCCCCCCGCCATCTCATCTCCAGGCCTGATTTGCCGGGGTTTGCTCTTCCCTTCCTTTGAAGTCCTTTGGGGTCCATCCTGAGCACAAAAGACATCAGCCACTCCAGGCACCAGAGGGGACAGCGCTCCCCCTTGCCTTAGTTACCAGACAAGGCGTTACCAGACAAGGCTGAACCAGCCATCGATCATCGATCCTACAACTGAGGCCAGAGAAAGGACTGAGTGCGCCCATGTGCAAGCCAGGGTGGAATGGAGCCGTGGACTCTGTTGCACTCCCCTTGCGTTGTCTGTGTCACCAGGCCCAGGACTCAGCGCCCCCTCCCCAGACTGTCCTCTACTCTATGGCTTCCGCCTTCCGCGCGGGCATGGTCATGACCTGCAGCGTTGGCTCCAAGTCCCCAAGATGAGACTGAGAGGGCGCGCTTCGTAGATGGCGAAGGTGCGCGGTGTCACTGCCTGACCCCGCTCCCCCACGTCCGCAGGTCCCGTCCCCTTCCGGTCCGCAGATCTCAGTCTTATTTCGAAGATCCCGTACTCACCGCGCCTCGCTCGAAGTCGTTATAGAAGGCCTTGTCCAGCAGGTGCTTCTCGCTGCAGCCTGCGGAGCCCACGAGGCTTAGGTAGATGTAGTCGTCCGTGCCGGCGAACCACTGGCTACCGGTGGCCACGGTCACCGTGTAAGACGGCATGGCGGGGCGCGGGGCGCGGGGATCTCAGCGCCAAGTCCCCCAGTCCTCGGAACCTGCTGGGCCGCGACCCTCCCACCGCGGGCCCCGCCCCTAACAGCCCCACCCGCGCCCCAACACAAGTCCCTGCCCAAGCCCTGCCCCTAACCGCAAACCACATGTGCTCCTCCAGCCCCGCCCATCTGTGACCCCGGCCACGCCCCTGGCCACCTCCCCGACTGACACCCTATCCCAGTGCTAGTGTGGCGGCTCCCGCGGCTCCGATCCCGCGTCCTGCCTCCTCCGTGTGCCTCTGTCTTTGTCCTTGCGGCCTTGGCACTGACCGGGCCACCTCGCCACCGTTCAGACTTCCTTCCTGCAGTCCGTCTCCTCTCCTTGCTTCCCTGCATCTGCCTGCCTCAGCTTTCCCCACCGACTCCGGGGGGGGGGCTCCCAGGAGGATCAGCCCAGACGGCTGCCCACGCAGGGCCTTTGAGCGGGGCTCCTGCGGGGAGCCCCATCCCACGCCACCCGGAGCTGCCCCTTCCTCGCAGCCAGCTTCCAGGCGGTGGGGGGCGGGACGGGGAGGAGGCCTGGCGTGGGGGTTCGAGTTGGGGTTCGGGTTCTGGTCGGGTCAGGTTCGCCAAAAGGGGCGAATCCGCGCTGGCCGGCCACCCCACCCCGGACCGGGCGGCCTGGCTGTCTGAGGCGCGGAGGCGGGGTGGCGGCCAAACGGGCGGACCCGAGTTCCACGTTCGGTGCTGATCCCCTGGCCTGGGCGTCGCCCCGAGAGTCACTGTGTGGAGCTGGGCACAGTGCGCGCAGCACTCGCGAGGCGGGGGGTGTAGGGGGTCACCTGCTCTGACCCAGTTCGGGCACCGGCGGAGGCCAAGACAAGCACCCCATTTCGGAGACCCGGGTCCCGCCAGTCCTCCCACCGCCACAGGGAGAGACAGGGCTCATCATGAGGCCTGTGTCCATCCAGGGGGGGCGCCAAGGTCCTGGAGCTGCAGGCGGGGAGGGCTGGGGCCCAGATACTGGCTCGGAAAGGGCGTGGGGTGCCAGGCTGCTGGCTGCCCAGCCCTGCCAGGGCCCTTTGCTCCAGGGAACCCCTACCTGGCAGTGTGTATCTGTGGAGTTGCCCTTCAAGTCCAAGAATTAACTGGCTATTTTTATTTTTATTTTATTTTTGGTACAGGGATCGAACTCAGGACCTTGACCTTGTGAGGCAGGAAGCAGAACCACTGAGCTAAATCCCCGGCCCCTAACTGGCGATTTTTAAAAAAATAAATACCATCCAGTAGTATTTCTGACAAAAGTATGAACTATCATTTTGGAAAATGTAGAAAAGAAAGGCTTGACACAAACAAAATACCTAACACATATAAAAAGTGCCATGTTTTGCAGAAGTTTTGCACATTAATAGTAGATTTTATCTGCGATTTCGGGCCATATTCCCATTTTCCTTAATGCCACAGCATACACTTTCCTATGTAATTTAATTTAATGTATTTTAACTGCAGAATGTTTACGTATATGGATATGCCACCATTTCCTCAATTTGTCCACTATTATTGGATATTTAGCTTGTTTTCACTCAAATAATTCTGTATATCATTCGTACATAAAACATTTAAAGTTTTTCCTAGGACAGGAAACTAGAAGTGGTGCATGAACATTCTGAGACTTTTGTTACGTGTGCAAGGACCGAACTTATACTCATGGACTATTTGTTTCATAAAAACTTCGCCACTGCAAGATCATTTCCCAAACTTCTCTACATCTTGTCTCTTCTATCTTTGCCCTAGTTCAGGCTCTCTGCAGCTTCTGTATGGGTTAGAACAACAGTTTCCTACCTAATTTCTCTACCTCTAGGCAGAGCAAATCAACTCATTGCCTTACTTGAAGTAGATCAGTGCTTCCTTTTTCAAAGCTTTAAGGAATTGTAATTAGCAGCATGCCATACAGCTCACCCATTTAAAGTGTCCATCCAACGAGCAGTTCTAAGAGGGAAGCTTATAGCTGTGAATGCTAATATTAAAAAATAGCACAATCCCCAAAACTTAGTGATGTATCTTAAAGTCTGAGAAAAACAAGAACAGACTAAATCTAAAAGTAGTAAAAGTAAGGAATTATAAAGATCAGAATGAAAATGAATGAATTTGAGAGAAAAAGTAGTACAAAAGATCAATGAATCTGAGTTGATTCTTTGAAAAGATAAATAAGATTGGTAAATTCTTAGGCAAACTAATGCAATTAGACATAAAAAGGTGGAATCACAACAGACACTACCAAAATTCAGGTTATAAGAAACTACTTTGAAAACTTATATCTCAATAATTTGCAGAACCTAGATGAAATGGAGAAGTTCCTATACACATATGAAATACCAAAATTCTACCAAGATATAAAAATTCTGACTAGACTAGAAGCAATACTAAAAACTTTACCAACCATGAAAAGCCTAGGACCCAATGGATGCTCCACAGAATTCTACCAAAACTTCAGGGAAGATCTAGCATCAGTACTCTTCAAATTCTTCCATGAATTTGAAAGGGAAGAAACACTGCTCAATTCATTTCTGGAAGCTGGTATTTCCCTGATACCAAAACTGGATAAGAATTTAACAAAAAAAGGGAAAACTGCAGGCCAGTCTTCTTAATGAACATAGTTGTCAAAATCCTCAGCAACATACCTGCAAACAGAATGCAACAAATCATTAAAAGATCACACATCATGACTAAGTCAGCATCATCCTGGAGATGCAAGGAAGGCTCAGCACATATAAACCAATAAATATAATTCATCATGTAAACAGAAGCAAGGACAATATCACATGATCATCTCAACAGGTGCAGAAAAGGCTTTTGATAAAAATCACACATCCTTTTTTAATAAAAACTGATGAAAACGGGTAGAGAAGGACCTTATCTCAATCTGATAAAAGTAATTTATAACAAACTTACTGCCTATATTACATTAAATGGGGAAACCTTGAAAATATTTCCTGTAAAATCAGGAACAAGGCAAGGGTGTGCACCCTCACCACTCCTGTTCGATACAATATTCAAACTTCAGCCAGAGCTATCAAATAAGAAAAAGAAGTAAAAGAAAGAAGTCAGAATATCCCTATTCACACATGACATGATCCTTGACATGGAAGACCCAAATAATTCCAGCAGAAGACTCTTGGAACTAATAAGATCAGCAAAGTAGCAGGATATAAAATCAGCACACAAAAATTAACAGTATCTCTGTATACCAACAATGAAGCCACCAAAAAAGAAAATAGGAAAACCATCCCATTTGCAGGAGTTTAAAAAAAATTAAATACCTAGGAATCAACCTAACCACGGAAGTGAAAGGCCTGTATGATGAAAACTCTAGTACTCTGAAAAAGGAGATCAAAGAGGATGTTAGAAAATGGAAAGACAGCCCTTGCTCCTCGTGTTTTTGTTCCTCTTTTACTACTTTCCTTTGTATTAAGTAGATAACTTTTAACATTTAAATTCCTTTAACCATTTTTTGCTTTTGCTTTATTGTGAGTTATTGATGAGTTAGGGCTTACAATATATTTTTGAACTTACTACTGTCTACCTCAGATTTATTATAACAATTACTTCTAGTGAGATATACAATACTATCCAAATACAGGTCTATTTCTTTTCTCTTTTTTTGGGTCCTATTACTGTTATATTACATGTGTACAAACCTGACAATAGATTGTCATAATTATTGTTTTATTCAGTTTTATATCTTTTAAAGAAGACTGAGAGAAAAAATACACCTGTAGAATAAGTATCATCTTAAGCTTCTCATTTGTCATCCCTTGCTGTCTTGAACTCTGCCGGCGTGAGTTCCCTACTGTACAGCTTCCCTCCCATTCACTCCTTTGTGCTCTTATGTAAATGTGCTACATCCTGCCTATTAATACAACAATACAATCGGATACGTGTAGTTGTACACAAATACTTGTTAAGTTACAACAATACAATTGAGTACATCTCGTTGTATACAGATACTTGTTAGGTTAAGTGAGGAAAGGAGACAAATATCCAAGTGTATTGGCTCTTGGAATTATCCACAGAATTACCTTTGCAGCTTTTGTTGTTTCTTGGGGTGGATTTACATTACTGTCTGATGTTACCAGCTTTCAGCTTGAAGAGCTCCCACTAGCAGTCCTTTTAGGATGAGTTTGCCACCGATAAATTGTCTCAGTTCTTGTTATCTGGCAATATATCTCATCTTTGAAAGATAATTTTGCTGGATATAAAGTTCCCTTTTTATTGTGACAAAATGCACATAACATTAAGTTCACCCTTATTTTCTCTTTTCGTGTTTCTAGCAGTTTAGACAGGGAGAAAGAAGGGGGACAGCGGCCAGGCAGAGGCAAGGACTGTTGAGGGATAGGAAGGGGCCGGCTCTGGGACAGGGGTGGTGTGTGCAGGGGAGCAGAGGGGCATTTGCCTGGCGTCTGGCCCTACATGGACAGCAGCTCCCAGATGTCAGCTGCTGGCCTGCAGCTCCCCCAGTCCCAGGGAGTGCTGGGACTCCCTGGGTTCATTGCTCTGAGCACCTGAGCCTACGTTGCCTTGCCCCAGCCTCTTTGAGCAGGGACACAGTGTGCCACCCATGACCCTACCGGGGCTTCCACTGTTTCCACACATGTGGAGTGAAGACTGAACTGGCCTTTGTAGAACACCCATGGCAGCCAAGTCTCCAGCAAAGAGGGACTTGACTTAATTGCTCCTTCAGGGTTCACTTAGAGTAATGGCTGTCTTTCTCCCAGGTGTCTCCCACAGGCAAGGACACATTTTACTAAATGAGTCAAAAAATACTTGGCAAGATCAGCTTGTTAAATACAGGAAGGAAAGCTTTGTCCATCCGGACTGGTCTTGGTGTGCACAGCACACTGCCTCAGTGCTACCCCAGTGCCACCGTGTTCCCAGCCTCACACACGGTTGACAGAGAGGAAGGCCACACGTGGCACCTCTCAGCCCCGCGGAGGTGCAGTGACTGCCTCAAGGTGACTGTGTGTGTTCTGGGGGTGCCTTCCATCAGGTAATGCGGAAAGCAGGAAGGGC